TAGCGATGGCCTCCAACCTACTAGCGATGGCCTCCAACCTACTAGCGATGGCCTCCAACCTACTAGCGATGGCCTCCAACCTACTAGCGATGGCCTTCCTCCTAATTGCTATGGTCCAACCTACTAGCGATGGCCTCCAACCTAATAGCTTTGCACACCAATCCTTCAGCCCGCCCTGGAGTCCCCATGAAAAGATCCTACCTGCGAGACAAAGGTTGGAAGCGGATTTGGTTTCTAGTCCGCTGGCTCGTTGTGACCTCCCGCTCTCTCACTTTATTTGTTAAGTTATATAACTTTATTTGTTTATCAAGGTAGCCAGATTTTTGAGTTTGCAAGAAGAAACACTCCAAGCCCAGATGTTTGAGGGCCTATCTATATGGGCCTAAAGAGCTTTTCATTCAGGGAAGTATGCCGACTGATTTGAAAAGACGATCGAACAGCTGAATTTTGCAAAACACCTGACTTGGTTTCCTGCCAGGTTTTCGCACTTTAGCTCCTTCCTGGTCACAGTGGGAGTCCAGTCTACCGCAGATGGGTGATGGAATACAAGTCCCTGCAGCTACCACACCCACCCCAAATTTCAAGTTCATGGTTGGAATAGGCAGAACCAACATGCACCTTCCGCAAACCCACAACCTCCCGGGTCGCAATCAGAGCTAACGGCGAGAGAGTTGTAACCAGTTGCCTCGTTTGCTCCTTTATATTTCGTAGAACACCACTTTGTCAAAGTAGTGTGTCACACTGCTCCGTGGCTCTGTGGGTTTTCATGTTTCTTGAACAAAGGGTACATACTGGGAGTGCTGCGACATACCCTTTCCAGCCATTTCTCGTCAAGAGAGCGCAGGCCGGACATCACACATCAATGCCTCATGGCATTGCTGGACAGTCCCTTGAATAAGGCCAGGTGGCGTGGATGAAACTGTTGAGCCAGTCGCAGAGAGCTCCATGTGCCAAAAGGTGATTTGTTCCGCAAGCTCATGCGCAATCTTTGTTGTTTTGCAATTACAGTTTGTAGCTTGGAGTTGTTTGCAACCCAGAGGTGTTTGCGTTTGTCCACGCTTGCTTGCGAAATTGACCTGTCAGTCAGCCGCTTAATTGGGTAATTTGTGCGAAATTAAAAAAAAAATCACAGCACCTAGGGTCGGCCTCAATCACCACTATGGTCGAGCAAAACCCAACTCGGAGTTCAGGATAATTGCAGGAGCCATGACAGTACGGTTTGAAAGGTCATTCCCCGTGTGCTAGCGAGCTCTGGGCATGGTGAATGAAGGCATCTCACTCGTTTGATGGTTGTAGGCAAGGTAGAATTCCTGAAACAGTCCACGCAAGCTTGTTCACTTCAGAAGCCTAAAGATGGCACGCCCGGTATGTCACCAGTCCACATCTTCCAAGCCCTCGACTTGGACTCGGGCGATGTTTGAACCACCTGGCTGGATGGCTGGAAGATTGGGAAGCTCGTAGTAGCGATGGCTTCCAACCTACTAGCGATGGAAGGTTGGGAAGCTCCTGATCTATATCCATACCGCGAAGAACGTGCTGGTGGAGGTGAGGTGGATTGCTGGTGGAGGTTGTGACGTTGCGATTTCGGATGTGCCCAGGGCTGGGGATGGATCCGATGCATTCTGAAATGCAGTAGGGGAGATGGGGCTAGTGTTTTGCTTACATGCAAAAAATAGTGGAAACTGGATAAAGACCTGACTGATATATATATATATATATACTGTAGATGCTAGCCAGACAATCAGATCAGACACATCTCAGATCGCTGGCGCTAAGTGGTGGTGCACATGTCAAGTGGTCTAGATCAGTACTGTTCTTTTCCAACAAACCAATATGCATAAATATAAAGAAATAAACATACAGATTGATAAATAGAATAAAAGCCAATACATAACTAAAACATAAAAGGACATAAACAACAAAATCTGATGGAATAAATTCAATATGTTATTTACAAATCTAAAGACATATTTACACATCTGTAGAAATATGTAAACTCATCAGACATCTTTGAAACTCTTCAAACATCTTGTAACATCTTTAAACATCTTGAAATTAACAAATATCAAAATATATCAAAGCATCTCACAACCGGGTTTCGTGGGAAAGGGTTTCGGAATGACAAACATAGTGTCCCAGACTCAATATCTCAAAAATATATCTAAACATCTTAACAGTGCATAAAACAATGCAAACATTGGAAAACTCTGTAAACACATGTGAAAAAATGAAACATGTGAAACACTAAAAGATAGACACGCCATTAACACAATATAAACAAAACATGGACAAATACTCATGTGCTGAGCGTTGCCCTGACAGGATTTCTGCAGGCTTTTGTGGTGGTTTTTATCATATATTCAATCAGAGCGATGGAGAGCGGCATGGTCAATTGTTGTCAACTGCTGCACAGTTGTTGTCACATGATCAATCGCGTGGGAAGCGCGTCAAAAAGAGAAGAAGGTTGTTCTTGTCACACGTGATCAATCGTGTGGGCTAGCGGCTAGCATATCAAGGGATTGCTGAACATAGAAACATGTTCAATTTCTTTTCCGATTTGCATTTGTTGTTAAACGTCATTTTTTAAAGTAAACGGTTTTTTGACTTTAAACTGTGCTTTTGCAATGTTTGCATGCAAAAACCATAGGAAATGAAACCCGGGCTGATCCAATCCACAACTTAGTCTCACTGATCAGACATACCAGAACCGCGAAGGTTACACATGGTAAAATGGTGCAAAGGGCTTCCGGGCGTTCTCGTGGCACGTGATGGTTTGGCACGTGCATCAAGTTGCATCCAATATGTATCGGTATATATATATATATTTGTATGGTACCCCCCCAAAGATATACCTTTTTCATGTGTTTGTAATACTTTTTCCAAGCAAGGTCTTGGTTTGTTTGAGGGGTACCATATATATATATACATATCTATAATGCATTTGCAGTGTTTTGGTGACATTTTCATATATATGTATATACACATTGTGTTTTAACATTTGAATCTATTTTAACTTGTTTTTGAGTTTGTGGGATACCTTGTCCCACCCGGCGCTGACCTCAGGTTGAAGATTGATCATGTGCAAAAAAATGCAGTACATCAAATTAAACAACTACAAACAGCACATCTCTATGCGCAATGAGGTATGCTCCCCTTGTGCATTTGCTCTATCGCTTGTCTATTGGTTTTATTCTTATAGACTGCCAACACCCACACCCAAAACCAAAAACAAGAAAACAAAACTCTGAGGAGTCTGAGGAGAATCTTTGGTTTCGGCCTCAAAGATGTCTTTTTTCATTGAGTATTTTTGGGTTTCCCTCATCAAAACAATCGACCCTATGTGCTTTTTGCATTGTTGTCTCCTTTTTTTTTAAGTACGAGAAAACCAAAAAGCACATGTAGTTTTTTTTGGGGGGGCATTGGTGATTGCATAGACCAAGGCAACAACCATCAAAAACATAGATTCTTTTTGTTTTTTGATGAAGGAACCAAAAACATTCAATGAAAACCAAAAACATATTTCAGGCTGACACCAAAGATTCTCCTGCGAGTTTTTTTAAAGGTTTGGTTTTGTTTTTTTTTGTTTTGGATTTGGAGTTCCCCAGGAACACCAAATACCGAGCCACTTTGCAGACATAGAGTTTGCAGTTTTGGTATGTTCTTTTTTTCTCGAGAAATCCAAAGAACAAACTTTCAATGTACTGCATCCGTATTCACCCTGCAGCTGTATTCTGCGCGGTATTCCGTTGTTTCTTCAGGCTCAACAGAAAAACTCTGATTGGATGCTGAGGCTTCCTTCTCCAGCAGTCCATAGTTAATAGTTAACAACACCTATCGTCTTCTTATTCAGTTTGTCTTCTTCTTGATTATCAGACATGTTTGTGTGCAGGAACTGATTTTGAATATCTCTTGGGTGTTTTACTAGGTTCATTGCCTGATAGATTACATTATCTCTGTGTTCAATAACATCACACCATTTGCAAAAATAATATGGATTCTCCACATGCTATAAAGTAAAGTCAGTCAACTTATCATAATCAACCGTGTCATCATACACTGTCCATTTATCAAACTGACAAGATTCCATTGTTTTATAGATGTTGATGAATGGGTGTAAATGCTCTGGTAGTCTTAATTTCAGTGATTGCGTTGGGGATCTTTTCAGATATATCATAGCTACTCATTCCACAGGGAATCAACATTTTAATATCACTGTCTCAATTGAATAGTATAACTTGAAACGGGCTAAATGCCGCCTTGCTGAAGCTATAGGTTCAGATTGTTCTAAGTGTCTTCATCCTCAACTATATGCAACCCTCAACTAAAGTTCTGTACAGTAAAAGAAGCTTCTGTGTTTTGATTGCATATTTGACGTTGTTCAACTTTTGTTTCGTTCAGTTATGATTCCCGCTTGGCGTTTAATACCTACTTCATAGACGCTATATGACAGATAAACAAAAATGGTTATCTTCTAACCTGACAATCCTTACGTGTTTCACTTTTAAAATAGTTATTTTTGCATAAAGGGTGTTCTTCCCGTTCGCTGATTCAGGTCGTGGATTAAGGAATAGATATGAGGTTGTTTTCAACCATTGCCAAAAGTCTTACTGCGATGGTTTCTTTGGGTGGGTCATATTTGTAAGTTAAACTCAAGAATACCTTTTCCATTTCCTATTGGATATCCCTTTTCAGTCAACTCATCTCTCGCTATAATATCACTAATGCTTTCCTATCAAGAGCATCTTTCTAGTTGTCCCACTGATAAGAGCAGTTTCAAGAAAGAACATGAATGCATTCCCCCAGCATGCATACATTATCTATGCAGTGGCCTTTTCACTGCCTTGTG